TAAGATGTTGCCAGAAACTTTCTGAACCACTGCAGCTAAATCTGCAAGCCCTCCCCACCCCACCCAATCCTAAGAGACACATATAGGCATTCAAATAATTTCAAGGAAATAAAGCTACTGATTTAACATGTAAACCAGCTCTGCTTCAACAACGAGTCTGTTCATCAAGGCCTGTTAACACAGGCACTCAACAGGCAAGATTCACATGCCCGGCCAGGTTACAGCACTGGTGTCCGCACCAAGGCTGGACAGAGGTCCCTGCGCTGGGTCCAAGGGATGAGCCGCCTGCAGCCCCCTCTCACAAATGCCCTTGACATTACAGATGCTATCGGTAGAGGACTGAAAGGTACGGACAAAGTGAGTTTTGAACTCACCATGTAAGATTTAGCAGATGTGAGCTTTTACAGAAGATGGGTTGCCTTGCACAACCCTTTCTTGTCTCAGTTTCTTTCCTCACGGTGTTTCAAGAGCAGAGAAGAAAGGAAATTCAGAAGGTTTCTAAGACTGCTCTCCAGTCTTACCATTTAAGAAATGCTGCAGACACTCTGCAACAACATTTAATATATCCTTAATGCATTTGTCTACCAGTAACAAAGACAACTCCACAAGCTCCTTAACTCACTTGTTTCAGTGCTCAACTATCTCTCCTTCTTTCCTGCGAATAAAGGCAATCTTAATTGCCCTTTCCGCAGTGAACTTCTAAGTTCTGTTATACAGAGCTGGCAAAAAATTGTCTGTGCTGGAACACTTTTTCATACCCTGCCCTAGCATTTTTCCAAATTTACCTAAAATCCATTTCCTTGACATTTTGTAACAGGTTATGATTTTTAAAACTCCACCCATTCTTGGCTCATTCCAATCTTCTATAAATTCCACCACAGTTTCAGAAGAATACAGAAATCCCTTTTTTGCTCCTACAAGCAATAAAAAAGTTTTGGTTCAATTTTCAGCAACATGAACATCTTTAATCTTTAACTGCTTCCCTGATCAATACCAGCACATTTGCTTACTGTGAAGAAATATTCAGACCACAAGCACCCGAGAATTTCTGGTAACTGCTCCAGATCACAGAAGGAGGAACAGGATAAGAAGTGTTGACAGACAAAGCAACAACCCTTCTGCCCTGTTGCAAACAGCTCTCGGGGGTGGCTACACATGCTGAACACCAACTGCCTGTCTGGAAGTCTCAACCAGCATTGTAAATGGAGTTCAAGCTTTTCCATACTGTAAGATTTTTTGCCATCTTTAAAGGGAAAACAATTCATAAATAATTCCCAAACTTCGGCTTTTGATTTCAGGACAAAACGAGGCTGCTTAACTTTCCTCTTACCAACTTGGTGTGAGGAACACCAACTAATTTTCCCTTCCCCGTTCCAGGAAAGGGTTTTATCCAAAACAGCAAGACTTTGCTCAGAAGGTACAGCTGAAGTAACGCTTATTTTCTGAGGGTGAAGTTATGTTGATTTCAAACTGCAGAGCTAGTACCAAAACAGAGGGCCTCAGTTTACAAACTGGGAGGACATGAATGTTTGGTTACTTAAAGTCTCTGTCTTCAAACAAACACATTTGCAGCTTCTCAGCAAAGGCTGCAGAAACAGCTGAGCCAACCCTACTGCAGTGGCAGGAAGGGCAGGCAAACAGTACGGCAGCAGCTGGAACAGGAACCACTGCAGCCAGCCCAAGGTAAGCCTTCCTCTCGCTGCTAACCGAATCTTCGGGGCTTACAAGAGTTTGGACATCTTCTAAGGTTACGCAGGGAATCAAAATTACACCGGTAAAGTTCTGAAAATGTGAAATGTAGTTTTGAAGCTACAGCTCTACAAAGGAATGGCCACATATTTAGTTATTAAACCTTCCCATCGTTTTTATGAACAAGTTTTATGATCAGGTTGTATGAACAAGATGAACTGAATGCATGGAATTTACGGCCTCCTTGTAAAACTGATCTATGCTATACAGGCCAAGGAATTTAGAAGGAAATGTGAGAAGAGTCACAGTGGCCAGTGTGGAACAGTCTTCATCACAAGCATCAGAATATTTGCCTTCATACATTCCATGCTCTTGAGAAAAGCTGCAAGTGTCAAAACTGCCCTGCAGTAGGTGTTTCCCCTAGAAGAAAATGCTGGATTTTTAACTGTCTGACCATGGTTCTCGCAGGAATTAAGACATCTGGCACTTGCTGGGGCACTGGAGACAGAAATAGGGGAAGAGGAGGATCTAGCAACAGTCCATTTCAGATAATGCTACAGAACAACTCATCTCCGTTTTCAAAGCCAAAAGCTGTGCCTAACATCAGTGCCAACTGTCTCTACTCTCCCCCCTCCCCAATTACCCAATTCTGTTGGAGGTCTCCTCTTCAGCACTCTTAACAGTTAATGGCTTTCTCCAACACACACTGAAAACTTACTAAGCCCTTACCAACAGCCATAGTTTTTACATGTGCATCCAACAGATGACCTGCAAGTCTACGGCATTAAAACCAACCAGCCAAGGGTAATGCTATTTCTTAGCCTCCACAAATCTTATCTGTGCCACAAAACCTCTACTAGCAATCAAAGAGGAAACTTAAAAAATGCAAGAGGGGGAAAAGCAGCCACTGGGACACACTGCCTATGAACTGATTCACATATATGGTGGCATACTTCAAAAAAAGCCAGAGTATGTGCTATACAGCAATTATTTCACAGTGAGAGAAATACCCTACAAAATATTAAAAAAAAAGAGGTGATAAAAAAGTAAACAGGAAAAATACGAACTTATTAATTGGGACAGGCAGATTCCTACAACTGTAAAACAGAATTATAGTTGTTTCCTTGGAAGAAACTCAGCTCTGAAGAAAAGACACTCTGGAAAAAATTAGAGGCGCTGATGGGATGCACTGCAAAGGAAAATTGACTAGCTATCATGTGAATGAGCTTGCTACTTACTGCCACAGCAGTCCGTAAATGCAGTAACATGCCAATATCTCAAGACAGAACTAAAAAGACCTGAAAGAAGGAGACAAAATCCTTTATATTGGATTTTTTCTGCTTTCCTCTCACCAATATCCTTCCAACAAAAAGAAGAAAGAAAAGACAATCCACACTTAGAGGATCAGTTTTCACACCAGAAACGCAACAGCTGAACTTTGCCAGCATCAAATCATGAAATACCCCTTCAGTGATTAAAGTGAAAGTAGGTCAGGCAGGCTTTCCTCCTACCCAAAAGGCACATCTGCTAAATATTTAGTAATACTCTAGATTAAAGTAAAACTTTCATGTTTTGTTCTTTCAACTACAAGCCAATCTAGGCAGTTTCTAGCAGTGGTGACAGAGCTTTCTTTTAGCATTGCAAGAGACAAAAGTATTGATATGTTTAAGATCAGTAGCATTTTACACAGAAAAGAGCTTCTTAAAAATAGTCCCCTCCAAGAGAGGCTCTAGATGATTAACTTCCAAGAGTTAAGGTCTCTTCAAGAATTTAATAAGTTAACATTAAAATAATTGACAAATTAAAAGCATCAATTTTGTTTTCATGGAACATCATATTGCCTAAAGGCAGGAATCCCTCCCAGCAACTGGGCACTTAACATCAGCACTTTGACAAACTTTAGACCAAACTCTGTCATCCTTTTCACAGGAAAAACATAAAAAAATTGCTTCCCAAAATAAAATTTGCTTACATTTTAAGAACCTGTTAGTATCCAGAAAAGACTAGTAAAATTATCCCAAACAAGTGGATCTGATTGATTTGTCAGTTCTGTGGAACTACAAGTTTACTGCCTCCACATCACTTTCTATTAATGTCAGTATAGGCACAGTTTTGCCTGAGGCAAAGCCAAGAGTGTAAGTGCTTGCTCCAGATCTGAACGAAAAGGGAAAGAAAAAAAAATTTAAATTCCTGAATCAGGTTCTCTCTCTCTTATTATAGTTCTGAAATATTAGAAAGGAAATAATAGAAAAAAAATACATTGTCCATGTACAAAGTGTTAAGGCACCAAGAAATGGTGAACAAAAATTTCTGTATTTAAAAAGGCAATAGAATTTACCAGTGTAAGAACAAACATGATAATTCATTTTGACTCAAATGAAGAAGTTTCATCCTTTTGCATGTAGGAAGTGGTATTTTGGCAACATTCACGCTATTCAGATTACATCATCTGTACTCAAAAGAGGAATATCTTTAACCTAAAGACGGATGAATTATTCGATATGCTACAGCTCTTCTGTGAGACTTATGCTGGTTCCACATTTTGTAAGACATACGAAGTGGGTGCCTGACTGCATGAAGAGAGCACCTAGAACAGTAATGCATGCAGATAGAAGTGTCCCTGTGTTTTGGTAAGAAGCTGTAAAAGTACACTAATAATCTGATGTCTCTGTCTGAAGTATTACAAATCTCATTTTAGATTCACAATCTTTATCTACGTATTAGAAGGGCTGATGATTAAGTGTATTTTTTTAATTAAA